TAGTGACTTGAGTTTCTATGCGAGATTAGACATCTCCATAATGCAATCCCTTATGCTATCTTTGTTTCATACCTTATGGAGATGCGTTTAGCCGAAAGGCTACTCGTCTCCGCCTTTTCATTTTTGGCAAAGTACTATTCTATTTATTCAAGGAATTTCCTTGCATTTTGACCCTAAAAAATATAGCACTGAAACAATTATGGAATAGAGCGTTTCATGATCATTAGGCACATTAGAGTATAAATGGATTTCTCCATAAAAAGTGTCGGATCCAAATATATACAGCCGAGAATAATCTCTATGACTTCCTTCCAGACCTCAAAGTTTGTCCCATCTAGCAATGAGATGTTATTAATTTGAGCATAAATATTTGCAGTACTGGTAAAAAATACTGAATCTAGTAGAACAAAGAAAAAATGAATTGCAATCATTCTTGCAATAAACTTACATCAAGTTTAACCCTTAAAATCCAATGGGATACATCATGAGTTACCTAGTACGACATTAATATTCAGTCTTTGGACAAAAAATATTAACTTGTAAGTGATACACTCAATATAGTAATCAAATATTGATAATTAGTCATGTAAAATAATAAACCTTTATTTGGACTGACTTACTATTCACATGGGAATCTATATGATTATCACATATTTATTACCACAAGTATGTTTATAATTTTGGCCAAATAGTAGTCTTCCTTTGGGTAGATCACTATTCGCATAAAATTGCAAACATACAATTAGCTTGATATTTCATATTCTTGTTGTAATGGTCAAACATTGATCCTAATGCATGTCAAATAATAAACCATTCTTTGGACTGATTTATCATTCACATTTGCAACCTTATAATTATCACATGTTTACCATCACATGTGTGTATATAATCCGGCCAAATAATAATCTTCCTCTGGGCCGATTAATACTCGCATGAATATATATATATATATAACCACTAGAATTTGACATTATTATGAACAATTTACACAAAAGATGTCACTTTGGAGACGTCTTATTTCTATAGGTTCACTTAAAAAGTCAAACAATCTTATAATCCAAAAAAATGCAGTCATGTAATATATAAAATAAGACATTCACATAATAGACTTATCACAAGATACCTAACACAACATTAATTTCTAGTCTTTGGATAGAGAAATTAATTTTTAAGTCGTACTCTCAATGCAATATACTACAAAACATATATATATCATGAGTTGTGGATAATGAACTGTTAAACATATATTGCGACAAAATTGTTCAATAATGCAGGCAAAGCTCATTGATGATTTCAACATATAGCAAACTATACATATGTATATATATATACATATGATTTCAAAAAAAATCAAGTATATAAATAAATATATGTATATTGGCTTCAACATATCAAATCATTTCCTTAATTCCTCAAGTTTAAATGCATGACATGCAAAATGCAACTCATCTTCCAATATGAAATAAAATATTTTATAAATTCAATAAATTCATATTGAAATAAACCCAACTCATATTGCAGCGTAAACATCTGTATCATTTACACTTTGATCAAAGAAAAAAAAACGAGAAACACTGCCCCGAATCCACATAAAATTCAAAACATTGCAATATAAACAATCAATATTTAAAATTCCAATCTTTACCACACGATAGTGGAAGCATAAAATACCCAAATTAAAATTAGGGTTCATGTAACACCCTAATTTTGAGTCTTTAAAATTATAGTATCAGTCTTGGAAGTCTCGCTTGAGCGAGAGATTCTCGCCTGAGCGAGAAAGGATCACCTGGGAGGGTGAAATCCCGGGCTATACTGGAGGATTCTCGCCTGAGCGAGAGTTGCCTCGCCTGGGCGAGAAATGGCAAATTGGGGCTGTTGACACTGTGAGATTCTCGCTTGAGCGAGAATCCCTCGCTTGAGCGAGAGCGTCAGATCTGAAATTTTAAAAAGGCGGGATTTTATCGCCTAAGCGAGAATGGGCTCGCTTGGGCGAGAACCTGACGACTGCTCTTTAAAATAGAAACCCCAAACACATTTTAGGGTTAGAACTTTGAAGAGAAGAGAGAGAAAAGAGCTTTTCAAGAGCAAAGAGCCTTATGACTCATCTTAGAGCTTGAGAAGAGGTAAACCTCTTGTTTCTAACTCTTCTTCTTCCTCTCTAACTTGTTTTGGGTATGTTGGATCTATTTTCAAAACATGAGAAACCATGGAAACTCATTCTTTAGAGTTATGGTTCGTTTTATGTTGTTTTTCTCTTGTAAACTCTTAGTTTAGAGTTGATATTTGATGAATGGAAATGTTTTGTGGGTTATTCATGAAAACCCCAAAAACCCCCAAAATGAGAATATGAGTATAAAGAGAAAGAGATGAAGTGTTAGATGTGGATGATGAGTTTGTGCTTGGCTGTTGATATATGAGATAAACATGTATGTTTAGATGTTTGGAAACTTGTATTGAAGTAGTTTTGGAAATCTTGAATATATATGAATCCCTTGTGTATTTGATGATGAAATACGAGTTATTTATGTGTTATTTTGAATAAATGACTGACATTGTTGTTATTGGTGAAAATGAGGAAAGATCCTAAGGTTGGAGGAAATCGCGGATGAGACTTTTAAAGTTACTCAGAACCGATCCCCAACGCTCATCAAGGTAAGAGATAAGTGTCTCTAATTCATACTCACTGATGTGAATGAAGTATGTGAATGAGGTAATGTGTTGGTAGGTTTATTGTTGTTACTCTACCAGAAGAGGTAGTGGTTTATTATTGTTACCCTACCCGAAAAGGTAGTGGTTTAATATTGTACCCTACCTGGAGTGGTAGTGGACTGTTATTGTGCCCTACCTGGAGTGGTAGTGAACTGTTATTGTGTCCTACCCAGAGTGGTAGTTGACTGTTTATTATATCCTACCCGGAGTGGTAGTAGACTGTTATTGTGTCCTACCTGGAGTGGTAGCGGACTGTTATTGTGTCCTACAGGGAATGGTAGTGATTATTGTGAACTCGACCTGCTCGATGTGGTATGAGGTATTAATAACTCGACCTGACCGATGTGGTATGGGGTAATGATAACTCGACCTGCCCGATGTGGTATGGGGTAATGATAACTCGACCTGCCCGATGTGGTATGGGGTAATGATAACTCGACCTGCCCGATGTGGTATGGGGTATTAATAACTCGACCTGCCCGATGTGGTATGGGGTAATGATAACTCGACCTGCCCGATGTGGTATGGGGTAATAATAACTCGACCTGCCCGATGTGGTATGGGGTAATAATAACTCGACCTGCCCGATGTGGTATGAGGTAATTAACTCGGCCTACCCGATGTGGTATGGGAAATGAAATTGGTGAATATGATCGATGAGAAATGTGAACGTCACAATGAATGTCGTATGCATGCTATAGGATATATAGTATGGGATATATATTCTATATGGTGAATATGACGGATGAGAAATGCGAGTGTTACAATGAATGTCATATGCATGCTATATGATATATAGTATGGGATATATATTCTATAGGGTGAATATGAGTGATAAAAAGGAAGATGTTGAGAATGAAAGTAATATACATGCTATAGGATATATATTATGGGATATATATACTATAGGGTGGATATGAATAAGGAGAAGGATGATGTTTCGAACGAACGTGATATGCATACAATAGAATATATATTATAGGATATATATACTATAGGATGAATATGAGTAAAGTGGAAATTAAAGGAAGATGATATGAATGTTTATAATTACGCATGTGTGTTTATAAATTATATTAAAGCTTAATCATATTTGAAATGTGGATTATCATGTGATGTTAGTTGTTGGACTAATGAGTTACCCCCTTCTGTTTTGTGTGTTGTTTATGATAATCTCATTTGTAGGTAAAGGAAGGATTTTGAGAAGGAAGCTCACTTAGGAAGCATTTGTGTTTATTAACTTGTTTGTCTTTATTGCTACTTGAAGTTGTAGTTAATTTGATAACATTTTGGGATGACTGTAAACCTGTTTAGATTAATATGGATATGTATAGTTATGGACGTTATAACTCTGGGAGACCCATAACTGGTTGTATGTGGTAAATGCTATTTGAATGAATTATGTTTTTCCGCAACATAAATTTGTATGATAATATAATAGGGTAAAGAATATTTTCAAAGAGTGATACTTGAGAGTTTTTAATTAAGGTGATGACTGTATGCAAGAAATGATTAAAATAAATGAAAAAATTTCAAGGGTAAAAATCGGGTCGTTACAGTTCATACAAAATTAGGGAAAAACAACCTTAATGAAGAATCATAAAATTCAGAACTTACGCTCTTATACCAATTGATAGAATTTGTTGGAATTTCCTTATGATTGGTAAACTACCAATACTAGGATCTTGAATGTCATGATTCTCACATACAATATAAAACAGAGATTTCAATGTCATACCTGAATCCATGTTTTCTTATCTGTTCCTTGCGTATGCCTTCGTAGAGAGGTTTTGCTATGATGGTATTCCTCAACCAATTCCTTGATTCCTCTTGGACCTTCGTTTTCTCTCTGGTGGGGAGAAGTGAAAAATGTGTTTGATTTGGTGTATATTGGGGACCATAACCTTCATGAAGTGTGAACTTATAGGGTTTCCATTATTCCCCATGGGTTAACTACTCTGAGTATCCGCTCATTAAGTCCATATCCATGATCAGTTTATTTTTAGAAGTCACAAGGGTTGTGAGTAATTAGATCACTTGTTTTATAATCCTGAAAATGAATAGCTGATATAATTGTATAAATATATGATGTCCACCTTAATTAGAAAGTATGAATTTCTAATATATTTTCCTTGAATTTAATTCCAATATTAGTCAACCACCCTTTTGTCTCTTCTTTAGGGATTAAGTCATGCAACATAAAACAAAAGGTACTCACATTTCCCCCATACACACACTCAACCAAAGAAGAGAGAGAAACTCTCATCCATATCTTCCTTCTCTTCCAAACCGTGTGGCTTCTTGAGTGGGTGAGGAGGGGTTTTTGTAACTCCAAATCACACAAAACTCTTCAAGATGTTGGCGTTTTCATTAGGTAACTACATATTTGGAACCTTTAACTTATTTACTCTCTCATACATCTCTTTTAGTACTTGTTTTATGTATATTCTTCAATTTTATGCTATAAAATGAGGTTAGAGTAGTTTAATGGAGAGGTTGAGGTCGCTTGAGGAACTTACATGAACTTGGTGAGTTTTTTAAGCTAGGATAAACCAAAAGTTCCATGAACAACTCTTCCCCTTCTCCTGCTTTTGTCAAAACCGAATCCTACCACTAGTTGTAAGGTGTTCATATTTTTTTTCCAAGAATTTTAAGTATGGTTGTTGTATAGTTGTGATGTGCAAAAACCATGCTTAAGTACACACCTTTGTTTTGAAAGATAAAATATTTGTAAAACCCCATGATTATGAATATTTTATAAGTCATCTTTTAAAGTTGATAAAGGGAATGAAACATAGGGACAAGTTTAAGTGGCTTTGTGAAGCTCAAAAGCTTGTATTTAGTTGCTTAAATTTTTCAAAAGTACCTTAAAATGATTTATTAGTTTAGTTAAATTTTGAGTCTTCCCCATAACCTTTAGTTCTGGAAAAAGAACTCACCTTTGTTGGTGAGAAAGTTGGATCTAAAGAGGGAAGCAAGTAGAAGTGATTTTTAGTGTTAAAATATGATTTTTATGCTTTTAATGAGTAATAGATTTTTATAAAAATGACCGAAGCTATGATTGTTAAAATATTATTTTTGGTATTTCCTTCTTTATTCTTTCATTTTTTGTGGAAAATAACCATAAAATCCTATTAAATGAAAACAATATCTTTGTGAGATTGTTTGGATATGGACATTTTATGAAAAATAAATGAGTTTATTTTCTGAACTTTTCGTTTTGAAACATATTTTAATTGCCTATAGTGTTTACTTTGTTTTCTTTAATGTATGGTACTATTCTTCTGACAATGACTTTAAAAATAGTTAACCTCAATGGAAACTCTGAAAACTAATATATGAACACACTGAGACTGTGTCAATGATAGTCTCTGTTTGGAACTTTTCACGTCGACGAACCAAAATGATGGTGTAATGTAGTTCGGATAGTTTAGACTAAACTTATGGAAATAGTTCCTATAAAGGGTATTTTCATAATTTTCACATTAAGAAACTCATTTTCGGTATAAGGACTTTTTATGATATTTTGGACATTTCATTAGTTTGGTCGAAACCCTAGATCATTTTATGAAACGGAGTTGCTTTGTAAATTAATTAACTTTTCATAAGAACCTATGACTAGAAGATATTGCCTAAGTCCATAAAATATGGCTAACAATGTTTTAGTATAACAACAATGTTTTAACATAAAAATTGGTTTGCATTGTGAGGATATAAAAGACGGAGCGAAAAGTTGTGGGACGAGATTCAAATCGTGAGCTTAAGGACTACATTGATACTTCGAGGTGAGAGAGAAGCATCGTGACATACTAGTTTTAGAATATGATATTAGGGTCCCCAAATGTACTCAAAGTTTGGAGGGCCTGATAGTTAGGAATTCATGTGGGCTAGTCAATGGTATGTTTTTTGGAATAACCATTATGTAAATTCCTAGCCCGACCATATTTATATGATGTGTCTATTTTACCTATGTACAACTCATTGCATGTTGTATCTGAAATGGATGTGATGATGATATATCTAATGAATGATATGTTATGTACCTTGAATATTCGTATATGTTTATGACATGCATAAAATCTATGATAATCTATTAAATTGCAATCGGATGTAAATCCCTCTTTTTGAAAGTTACCCTATCGGCTTGGCAAGGGGACGTCATGATATATATAACTTGGGTCAGAGAGCAAGTAAGAAATAAAAGAACCCCTAGACGTGAGGGGCATATGCGATGAAATAATCATATAGTAAGATGTGAGTTTGAAAATATCCTAGTGTAGTCCTTCTAGATACTCGAAAATGGTTTTGTCAAATGCCAACCTTTGGATGGCAAGTTCACCAAACCATATGAGTTAAGACATTAAAATAAATGTGAGTATGAGTATGGTAAATAAAAAGGGAAGTGTGCGATAGTTTATCATGTACAAGAGGGTACGCCTGATTGTATATTCGCCATACTTGAAGAGTAATGACGGGTCGAGTAAAGCCCATAAATCGTAAACCTATACATTGGAAGAGGTTAAGAAGAAAGTATATCATTGGTCGTGAACCTTTCCCTTCTCATAAGATATGATATGAACAATGCTAATGATTACGATTGTTTCTTAAATATATGTGTTGAAAGATGCAACACACACATCCTCCTCTTAAAAGCTTGAAAATAATATATTGGGTGAAAATGTATAAAAACTCCATAAACCTATGTGATTTGCAAGTAGACACAATAAACTATGTATTCTTACTAATTACCCCTTCAACTTTAACTATTGGTAAAATTGGTCAATATATAAAAATATTGTTTAATTAATAGCAATAAAAATTCTAACCTATACATTTCCTTTTAATCTCGACTGTTAGATAATATTATTATGTTAACTACTTTTAAATCTACAATATACTTATCTTCTTCTCAATAAATTTTGTATTTTGATGACAGTTTAATCCAGATATCAATATTTGTTAACCTACGCTGTTGTTTTATTATTGTTGTGAGTCTAATTGTTGCGATATATTTGTTGGACTATTAATACCTTAACAATATAATTATGTAGGAACCTATTTCAAAAATTGAAAAACTTCAAAAGATATTTAGGGAAAAAATAGTTCATGGTAACTACTGATAGAAGACATAAAGTTTATAGGAATTTTATCCATTTTCCTATATATTTAAATTATTTCATATAATATTTAATTTATTATTCAATTTGAATTAAATAACTATATTCTTAATTATTATATTATCAATTTAGTTACAAAGTAAATGAAAATATTCATGTTTTTACTAACTATATTAAATCTTATTTTTTTTTGTAAAAACAATTAATTTGTATTTTACTAATTATTTATCATATATTTTTAAAGCGGAGGGTCCACTTACTCCAAGAGTAAGTGCAAAAGACATACTCCTCATCTTAGCCATTCAATCTTGGAAAATCAAATTGTTTAGATGTACTCGCCAATTCAAACCATTGGATTTCCCAAGAATGAATGATTATGATGTGAATTATGTTTTTTCCACTTACTTTTGGAGTAAGTGGATCTCTCCCCATTTTTAAATATAAAATAAAATGAAATTATTTTATTTATTATTATGCATACAAAGTTCAAACAAAATAAATAATAATATAATAGATAAAAACAGCAAATAATGCATTAAAGAAATATGTTTTAAAATAGAAACATTATTCCTTAAACAGTCAACTCTACCTTATGAGGGGCACGTTGAATCTAACGGTCAAAGAAAATAAGATTGATTTCGAAACATCTAAAAATTTAAAACACTTGTTTCTTGTGATTAATAAATATTTTTCTATGAATTTTACAATTTTTGAATGATACTTATAACTCTCGTGATTGGATAAGAATATTTCATGACATACCTTGATTATATATATATATATATATGCATAAATATGCATATACACACATATATGTATATACCTGTAGAGAATACTTAAATTCATCTACGTTAAATAAATTATTATCATTTGAGTTAACGAACTAAACTAATCAACTAATGAGTTGAACTACACAGTTTGAACTTTTGACCAGCCAAATCTATCCGAGGTGTTGACTCAAATCAAATAGTTTGTGAATTTCAATCGAGATCCAAACTCGAGATGGAAGCACAACTGTTTCGATTTCGATTTGATTTATGAGAAAAGCACATCCTTATTGAGATGAACTCTAATTCAACTTGGTTCGGCTTATTTCTTGTCTTTCAGTTAATTTTTTCATATATATTTATTGGAACCTATTGTCTCTTGTGAAGTGAAGAAAAATATGTTATATATTGATAAAAGCATTGTGAATATGTATTTTTATTATATAATTTTTCCAAAATAGTTTTGATACATGAACAAATAAACTAAAAACAAATTTGAACTAATGCCATTTGATTACTTGGTAGAGTTTATATAAATTGGATTTTTTTAACAAAACAAATCAATACGAAACAAAATATTTAGTTTGAATTTTTGTAGGTATATTGGCATTCCTTAGATGGTAATTTATGAAATGCAATGTTTAAATGATATTTTTTTTGGATGAATATATGTATGAATGAAGGTGTAATAATAAATATTATGGATACATGTATGCATGAATGAATAAATGAATGTTTGAATATTGTATCTTTTGAATGCATGTAATATACATGAGTAAATAAGTGAATGAATAAATAGGTGAATGATAATACAAAATGCATGTTCTTTTGGGTAATGAATCTCATCTTTGGGATTTATATCCTTCATTAGGAGTGATAAAGTATTGGGATAAAACCATGTATCTTCACCCTTAGGACTAGGTAGTTGAATATAAAATTTTTAAAATGATTATTTTATATATGTAATATGAAATAAACTTTCTACCGTATAAGCTCATATATCCCCTAACTCAGGAGATGGCCGATGAAGTACTAATTACTATGACGATTTTCAAATAGAAAAGTCATACATTATTATTGCAATTGTTCTTCCCATTCTCAATATAATTCATAAATCATATTTATTAATATTTAAGTAATATTAAAGGAATTATCTTAATTAATTAACAAGAGAACTAATACAAAATTAAAAATGCTGGTCAAGAATGGTCTTCCTACCTCATGAGATTATAGAGGTAATACTAATACCCATAATCACTTCTCAACCATAAGCAGCAAATATATAACATGAATCATGATCTTCCTATTAAACTAACATTTTTTTAATTAATTGTGTAATTAGGAGATAATTTTAGACTCACTGATAAAAAAAAATTAATAGCTAATTAATAGGTATCTTATGAATTAAAAATAAGTAAGTTTCTAAAATAATTAATCTTAAATGGTTTATGGAAGAGGTTAAGAAGAAAGTATATCATTGGTCGTGAACTTTTCCCTTCTCGTGAGATATGATAGAAACAGTGCTAATGATTACGATTGTTTCTTATATGTGTTGAATATGCAACACACTCATCCTCCTCTTAAACGCTTGGAAATAATATATTGGGTGAAAACGTATAAAAACTCCATAAACTTATGTGATTTGCAAGTAGATACAATAAACTATGTATTCTTCCTAATTACCCCTTTAACTTTAACTATTGGTAAAATTGGTCAATGTATAAAGATATTGTTTAATTAATAGCAATAAAAAATTCTAACCTATACATTTTCTTTTAATCTCGATTATTAGATACTTTTATATATACAAATATTATTATGTTAACCACTTTTAAATCTATTATATACGTATCTTCTTCTCAATAAATCTTGTATTTTGATGACAGTTTCACTCAGATATCAATGTTTTCTAACCTATGCTGTTGTTTTATTATTGACGTGAGTCTAATTGTTGCGATCTATTTGTTGGGCTATTAGTAATTTAACAATATAATTATGTAGGAACCAATTTCAAAAATCGAAAAACTTCAAAAGATATTTAGGGAAAAAAATAGTTCATGGTAACTACTGATAGAAGACATAAAGTTTATAGGAATTTTATTCATTTTCCTACATATTCAAATTATTTCATATAATATTTAATTTATTATCAATTTGAATTAAATAACTGCATTCTTAATGATTATATTATCAATTTAGTTACAAAGTAAATGAAAATATTCATGTTTTTACTAACTATATTAAATCTTATTATTATTATTTTTTGTAAAAAAATTAATTTGTATTTTACTAATTATTTATCATATATTTTTAAAGGGGATGAATCCACTTACTCCAAGAGTAAGTGCAAAAAACATATTCTTCATCTTAGCCATTCAATCTTGGAAAATCCAATGGTTTAGATGTAGTCACCAATTCAAACTATTGGATTACCCAATAATGAATTATTATGATGTGAAGTAAGTCTTTTCCACTTACTTTTGGAGTAAGTGGATCCCTCCCCATTTTTAAATATAAAATAAAATGAAATTATTTTATTTATTATTATGCATACAAAGTGATACATTAAAGAAATATGTTTTAAAATAGAAAAATTATTTCTTAAACAGTCAACTCTACCTTGGGGCACGTTGAATCTAACGGTCAAAGAGAATAAAATCGATTTCAAAACATCTAAAAATTTAAAACACTTGTTTCTTGTGATAAATAAATATTTTTCTATGAATTTTACAATTTTTGAATGATACTTATAACTCTCATGACTGGGTTAGAATATTTCATTATAAAACCCTAAAAAATACCATTTTCCCTTCTTAATTTCCTTTTTTAATTCAGTTTCTAACGTTTATTTGTGATAAAAATGGACCGGACAAAAATAGATGTTTACACCAACAATTAAATCCATAACAAGTCAAAGAAACACACCAACCTTTCCCTATAAAACATCCCATACCATTCATCTCACATTCCACACCAAAGCAAGTTAGTAACACTACTAATCACAAAGTACTTATTCACTCTCATCATCTTTGTTCAATGGCTTCCAAGGCTGCACTTCTCATTTCTCTCAACATCCTCTTCTTCACTTTGGTTAGTTCCACCAGTGCCCCAAATCCATCACCCTCAACCCCTGCTGACCCA